ATGTAACACTCCAATCAGAAGTTAAAAGCCAGAAGAAAGATTCAAGCTTAAGGAAACAGGAGAAAGCTCAAAGGTGAATTGAACTTTTCTATTAACAAATCTTTTAATGAAGATAACTTATTTAGACATATATGTAATTATCTTGTTTATATATCTATAAAATCTATCTAATTCTAGCTACTTAGAAAGAAAAAAACAATAACGTGTTATTAAATAGTAGTAACGAACACATAATTAATTGTAAATGCATTATGTTAAATATTAATCGAAGAAATGTAAGTTTGTAATTTTTTTTATATGTATTGCAGACTGAAACAGCGGCTGGCCAACATGTTAATACCGTTGCTGCGACGGACGCGTCATCATTGACCACCGTAATGATGCGGCACGAGTTCGCAATGCCGAAACATTTGCAAAAGAACACATGATTGTCGCAGTTTCTCACAAAGATAAAAATAATATGTGAATGTTTCGACGATGAAAACTCGAAGTAAAGCTGAAAATCTCACGTATACATGACGAAGACTTATTAAGTGATAAATTATTTGCATTTATTTAGTAGATTAAGTTAGTTTGTAATATCGTAAGATAATCTGTTGCGTTGAAAATAAATGATAATTATTATTGAAAAATCCTAATGATCGTTGTTTTAATGCCTTTTAAATAAACTAAATTATGTTGACAAAATAACAGAACTCCTTTCTTTTCCTGTTGTTTGTGTATTTATGATTTATTTAATTAAAAATAAATGTACACACATATATATCAAATCTCTCAAAAGAATGGCTTTATTATTAGAACTGAATATGTATACTTGATGTTTACAAAACATTCTTCACTTAATTAAATGTAGTACATTATGATTACTTACGTATTTACTGATAAATCTAGTTAATTATTTGTTACTCTTGTCCCAAGAAAATGAAAACAAACAGAGCTACCTAACTGCATCTTAAAGTTAATTAATCACCTGATCCTATTTACTATTTAATCTACTTTGTACTACTACGAGTTAATTGAATAATATCCAGATACGAAAATATAATCTGTGCAAAAAACAACCTCTTTGACTGACTAGATATATGAATACAGCCAAAGAGGTTGCATACTGGCCAAGACTTTTACGTAGTGTGTAAAAGAAAAGATGATAAAAAAGGGGAAGAAAAAGAAGAAAGATTCGATGGATACAGTTTCGTTAAATGATTGTAAATATGTAAATAAGTTTAAATAAAAGTTGTTTTCGTTAATATGAAAGTATTTTTTGTATTTTCGGTTGCTGCGCTGTCTGTAACAAGCTACACAATTTGTTAAAAAAGTGTTAAAAACATTTTGCAAACTATATTGTAAGTTATGTTTATGAACAGACATTTTAACTGTAAAATATAGGGATTATATTCGATTAGTGTATTGCATTAAGTGTATTGATTTCGTTGAACATTTGCACAGTTTCATAAAATCATTTAATTTTATAGAAAATTCGTAAAGAAAATATTTTTGTTGTGACTAATGCTATCATGGAATAGCGTATTCCATACTGTGTACTATTTGCAGGCGCAAATTTCTTTTTTAATGAGCACGAAAACACTGTTTAGGGCAACGGTGAATAAAGATCAGTTAGACGTAATGACAGCAACTAAAGCTAGGCGGCAATAAGAAGACATAGATATAAAGCTTTACTAAATAGTAGATAGTAACTCGTATAAACACAAATAAGGTCTTATATGTTGGGGCAATGAACTACAAGACTTTCAACAACATAAGCCTTTGATAAATCGACAGTTGAGAGTCGAATACGATTTTATAAATAAATGATATATAAAAGAAATGTCAGAAACTGCATTGATGTTTAAAATTGTTAGAAAACAAGCCTTTATCTAGGTTAGAAATGGATGCGTTTTGTCTCGGTTCAGTTTTATTGCAGTTGTTTATTATTTTTAATAGATAGAAAACATGTATGTATGCTAACTCGATAGAAAGTAGTTGTTTATCGCATCGGGCTTTCGCCTCTAGAACATTCGAAGCTTATATATTCTATGGAAATTTCCAAGAAAGAAATAGGTTGCATATTTTTCGTGGATAATTTTAACATAAGCATGATATATCAGTCGAATTAATGAAAACTGCTCCTCGTATATATACTCCTCCTCCTCTCTCCTCCTCTATATACTCGTATACCAAAATAAAAATATGTTTGGGAAACTCTGGTGGGTTCTCTAAATAATTTAGCGTTGCGGTTTCTAGGGACTGAAAGTTTGTTGAAAGTTTGTTTTTATCATATAAAACAGTTTGATGAATTACACGTCCCATATAATAACTCGTTTCTGTGGAAACTATATGTTAACATGGCCACAATTTGCGGCGAAGGAAAGCGAGAGTGTAACGACCTGACTGGTACATAAATCTCCTAAGTTTAATACTGCAAACCACAAAAATATATATCTATACTAATATAATAAAGCGTAAACACACTCTTCTTTGTTGCCTAAGATGTCAGCAATCACAGCATATTTTCGAATAACTCTTTTTTGAATAAAAGGCCAAACACTTACGTCACGCTTTAGGCTATATATTTTAACGCCGTGTAACTTGGGGGTAAATATTTTGGATAAAAACCCTAATTTGGGAAAGAGACCATAAGTTGTCCCAACAACAAGGAAGCAAGGTTGCCATGGTTTGACATCGTGTCATGTCATTTTGACATTTGCAATTGATAATTTGACAAATGTAAACAATAAAATGAAATATTTATAATTCGACGCGGATGAAGTCGCGTGGGAACAGCTAGTACGAGTGTATATATATTAACCTTGAACACGGAATTAAAAAGTTAAATTTTACTTATCAAATATCTGATGTCATTGTTTCCTAATACCTAATTAAATAATCAGGTAATCTCTCCGTGTGTATTTTTGATAAAAACGTTTTATCATGTTTTATATTATGTGTAAACAACAAATATAAGGAAAATAGAGTCACATGTGTACATCGTAAAGTCGTTAGACTTACACAGATAATAATCAAACAATGTTTCTTAAATTACCAATTCAATTAAAAATTAACAAGTAAAGCCGAATTATTTTGTTAGTGTTCTTGTATTATTTTTGTTATTGCTAGTGTTTAAGTAGAGGCTCACTTAGTAGTTATAGGATTATCTTTACTTATTTATAAATGCCGTTATTCTTTGATTACTTGGTTGCATAAAGGTGGGGCAGGTTGTGCAGGCTATCGGCTATGTTTACAGTTACATACTTGTATAATTACATTGCAACAACATCAAGTAATATTTATAATCTAACAGTAAATTATGGTAACACCGACACACGTAGAGCAAATAGTAAACACCTGTGGTGTTTGTGTGTAGTAACACAGTTAAACGATTTTTTTGTGTAAGATTTTGAAAACATGTATTACCGAATTTGGAAGGGAGAAACGACTGATGGACTTATTGTCCAGATAGAGTAAGAGGGCAGTCACTGTGGAGATGTACAACATAAAAAAACATCTTCTTTCTTTTATTCTGTAAACTTCGACTGATTCAGGTAGGGATATGTTTTCACAGAGTAAGTAAATTAATAATTCGCGTGTTTCTACATTCAGAACTCGGTTATCGTATCGTTGACCCTTGGTCACAGTCAAAGGTGACTGCCGCGCCGGCTGCGTCACCGCACGCGACACGGAACAATAGATGGACTGTGCCTACGTAAATAAAGATGTAACCTACTTAGCTTACACTTGTATTGATAAGATTATTCTTCATATCATTTTATTTTTGTACATTGGTTAATGACAGCTTAAGGCGATGTAATTAAAGGTTAGGATGAAGCAATTGCCATAGGCTGATAATCAACGGTAAGTGTCACTCATGGATGTATGTAAAGATGTTAAGATTGTTCGTGTCGCGCGAACCGTT